TCTGGCTGCAAAAGTCCCTCCATGTGGTGTTTTTAGGTCTATTTATATATGTAGAAGAAATCCTAAACGTGTAGGCCAAGTCCTAGTCAAATCCGGAAACGAATTAAGTCTTCAAAACTCGGATTGGACCTGGCCTAAGGCCTGGCATCGCCGGCCTAATGCCTGGATTTTGGCTGGCCTCGCCAGGTCTCTCCTTTTCACTGTTCTCGAGCACACTTTCAACGTTTAAGTATCCCTTTTGCTCTACTTTCATTTTCAATTCACCTACACATAAAATAGATTCCATTATGCGCAAATAAAGTATAATTTATCATTAAAGCGTGTAAAATACAAGGCACATAATGTACAAAACTATGAAATTATAGCCACACATCATGGGTGCAGAAGCAAGGTCTTGCGCAGGAGCGAAGAGGAGCTCGCACCTGTGATGTTGTAGAAGCGGAAAAAATTGTTCCTCAAGTGCGAGGGGTTGGTTGGTTAGTTGTGGTCGCAGAAGCATAAATGTTGTCGCAGAAGCAGCTATTTTCTTCGCAGATGCGAACAGTACTGGGCAGAACCTATAATTTCGAGGGTTGGTCATTTTATTCACATTCTTGAGACTTAGAGCTCGGTTTTGGGCGACTTTGGAGAAGAATTTCACCACACGGATTAGGGTAAGCATTCTTGGCTCGCTTGTGATTATATTTACTGAATTAATCTTCGTTTTCGGCGTATGATTATTGATTTTAAAGAGAAAATTGGGGGGGTTTGTCTAAAATTTCATAAAGTGAATTTTTGAGTTTTGAACATCAATTTAGAGTCAGATTTGAGTGAAACTAGTATGGTTGGACTCATAAATTAAGTACCTCATGAATTCTATCAGTGGCTTAAAGTTTGATTCGATGTTCACTATCTTAGCAGGCTACCAAATGACTATTAGAGATTCGGTTTGGCGGAATATGACTAAAAGTGAATTGAATTCAAGTTGACGGGCTCGTGATAAGAGGAAAATCATTGATGAAATCTCATTTGGTTTGTGTTTGCTGGTAACGGTTATGACTTAATGAGTCATATTTATGAATACAAGAAACTAAGATGCATGAGATCAAGAGGGATGTATCAATGTGCTCTCATAATATTCTAGTCACACGGCCTATTTATCTGGTATGAATGATGCTAGTCACACAGCCTATTTATCTGGTATGAATGATGCTAGCCACACAGCCTATTTATCTGTATGAATGATGCAAGAGAGATAAAAGAGAGTTTTTCCCTTACATTAATGGAGTTTGAGCACTTCCTTACGTGTGAGTGGGAGATGTTGGGAAATAGCTTTTGGGTCTAATATATTCATAAGGGGTGCTAGCTATTTAGGTTCATTAGTTAGCCTAACCCTAAGCCCAAATGCAATCTATATAAAAATCACTATGGATGTTGGAATGTCTAGAGAATGGCTACGGTTAGTTATCTTTACATCATTGAAGGGGGTTTTAGACTGTGGACCTAGGGAGTTCACTCGATAACGTGTGAATTCCCAACGATCAGTGATTCTAGTCGTGGACAACCCACTACTGCCAAGAAAAAATATTATAAATCTCCTAAAATAGCGTTTACTCGATTTATTACATTTTATCTCCTCCTTTATAATATCCCAGGTAACTTGAAAGAAGTATCCACTAAATACATCTGCACCAGCTGTGCTGCTTTGATCTGTAGAGAAAATGGCATCTTTAATCTGTTCTTTTGTTGGTAATCTTTGCAAATCATCATTCTCTTCCTATTAAGTGATCACTCCATCTCAGAATGTGCATATTGGACCCATTCCCTTGTTCAGTTAACATGTGGCTAAAGTATTCAATTGCAGCATCTAAGAGTTCTTGTTTCTCCTCTACCCAATTCCCATGCTATCCTTGATTTTATGAATATGTGAACTCCACCTCTTCTCTTTAATACACTGTAAAATACTTGAAGTTAGTATCTCCTTCTTCAGCCCATGTAATTCTAGCTTTTTAACTTGAGAATAGAATCTTGCATCATGTATTCTACTTGTGCTCTATGAAGGACCTCCTCATAGGCGGACCTACATATAGATTAGAGGGTCACCCGACCCGTTAACGTCGGCAAAAATTTTGAATATATATGTGTTAAAATCGGTCATATATTTTGCTTGCAACCTTTAAGATGAAAATTAAAGTGCAACGGGGGCCACTTGTTGAGCAGTCCGCTCATGTGCCCCGCCACCTTCAAATTCCGGGTCCCCCTCTGAACCTACTTCTTCCTACGCTATGGTCTCATTCTCCAAGAATTTGACCCTTTTAAATCCCTTTCTTGCTCCTCTGTAACTGATGTCGTTTTGAGCATTTGTATTTCGTTCAGGTATTTGAATTCTTGAGCAGCATCGTATGATGTATTATGACTTCTGCAAATCGTCAGTTTTAGTTTTCAGGTTATTCGGAATTGATCTGGAAGAATGAATTTCATGATTGAAGCTTTAGAGTTTGAAGAGTTGACCAAGTTTGACTTTTTAGTATTTTTCCTTGGATTGGAGTTTTGATGATTTTGTTAGGTCCTGATGGTAATTTTGGACTCACACATATGCCCGGATTTGCATTTGGATATTTCTAGAAGGTTTCGGCGCTAATTGACGAAAGTTAAAAATTTGAAGGTTTAAATTTGACCTCTTGTTGGAAATTCGGATGAGGTTCAGATCATTTTTCCTCTTGTTGCATTGCTGAAAATTTTTGGTGATGGTGTAGCCGCATCTGCGGAGTATTGGTCGCAGATGCGGGAGGTAGGAAGCTTATCGCAGAAGCGGGAGAAGCATGGGCTTGGAGTCTTCGCAGATGCAAAATTTGAGTCGCATTTGCGACTTTGCAGAAGCGATTGTCGTGGGCGCAGAAGTGAGGTCTTACGCAGGAGCGAAGAGGAGCTCGCACCTGCGATGTCGTAGAAGTGGAAAAAATTATTCCGCAGGTGCAAGGGGTCGGTTGGTTAGTTGTGGTCGCAGAAGCGGCTATTTTCTTCGCATATGTGAACAGTACTGGGCAGAACCTATAATTTCGAGGGTTGGTCATTTTATTCACATTCTTGAGACTTGGAGCTCGGTTTTGGACGACTTTGGAAAGGAATTTTACTGCACGGATTAGGGTAAGCATTCTTGGCTCGCTTGTGAATATATTTCATGAATTAATCTTCGTTTTCGGCGTATGATTATTGATTTTAAAGAGAAAATTGGGAGGTTTTGTCTAAAATTTTATAAAGTGATTTTTTGAGTTTTGAACGTCGATTCGGAGTCGGATTTGAGTTAAACTAGTATAATTGGACTCGTAAATTAAGTACCCTCACAAATTCTATCAGTGGCTTAAAGTTTGATTCGATGTTCACTATCTTAGCATGCTACCAAATGACTATGAGATTCGGTTTGGCGGAATATGACTAAAAGCGAATTGAATTCAAGTTGACGGGCTCGTGATAAGATGAAGATCATTGATGAAATCTCACTTGGTTTGTGTTTGCTGGTAACGGTTATGAGTTAATGAGTCATAATTATGAATACAAGAAACTAAGATACATGAGATCAAGAGGATGTATCAACGTGCTCTCATAATATTCTAGTCACACGGCCTATTTATCTAGTATGAATGATGCAAGAGAGATAAAAGAGAGTTTTTTCCTTACATTAATGGAGTTTGAGCACTTCTTTATGAGTGAGTGGGAGATGTTGGGAAATAACTTTTGGGTCTAGTATATTCATAAGGGGTGCTAGCTATTTAGGCTCATTAGTTAGCCTAACCCTAAGCCCAAACGCAATCTATATAAAAATCACTATGGATGTTGGAACGTCTAGAGAATGGCTACGGTTAGTTATCTTTACATCATTGAAGGGGGTTTTAGACTGTGGGCCTAGGGAGTTCACTCGATAACGTGTGAATTCCCAACGACCAGTGATTCGAGTCGTGGACAACCCGCTACTGCCAAGAAAAAATATTATAAATCTCCTAAAATAGGGTTTACTCAATTTATTACATTTTATCTCCTCCTTTATAATATCCCAGGTAACTTGAAAGAAGTGTCCACTAAATACATCTGCACCAGTTGTGCTGCTTTGATCTGTAGAGAAAATGGCATCTTTAATCTGTTCTTTTGTTGGTAATCTTTGCAAATCATCATTCTCTTCCTATTAAGTGATCACTCCATCTCAAAATGTGCATATTGGACTCATTCCCTTGTTCACTTAACATGTGGCTAAAGTATTCAATTGCAGCATCTAAGAGTGCTTGTTTCTCCTCTACCCAATTCCCATGCTATCCTTGATTTTATGAATATGTGAACTCTACCTCTTCTCTTTAATACACTGTAAAAATACTTGGAGCTAGTATCTCCCTCTTCAGCCCATGTAATTCTAGCTTTTTCACTTGAGAATAGAATCCTGCATCTTGTATTCTGCTTGTGCTCTATAAGGAACAGAGGCGGACCTATGTATAGATTAGAGGGTCACCGGACCCGTTAACCTAGGCAAAAATTTCGAATATATATATATGTTAAAATCGGTCATATATTTTGCTTGTAACCTTTAAGATTAAAATTAAAGTCCAACGGGGTCACTGGTTGAGCAGTCCGCTCATGTGCCCCGCCACCTTCAAATTCTGGGTCCGCCTCTGAATCTCCTTCTTCCTACACTATGGTCTCATTCTCCAAGACTTTGACCCTTTCAAACACATCCACTATATCCATGGACCAGTGGCAGAGCTACATTGAAGCAAGGGGTGTCAACACCCCTTCGCCGGAAAATTATATTATTTTGTTAGATAATTTTTTTTATTTTATGTATATTTACTATACGTTGATTTCTCTTGACTTTTCAATATATCTAATTATTTATATTTAGACACCCATTGATAAAAATTCTGGATCCGTCGGTGCCATGAACCACCTACTTAGCTCTATAGTAAGACCTTTCAGTTTCTGGCGCAAGGTCCACATAGCATTTCCTGGGACCATAAGTCATAGTTTATCGAATCATTTTGATAATCTGTGGCTAAGAATCCTTCTGCCCTATTCTTTATATAGCGCAAAAGGATAAACCTATCTCAATCTGTGGCTAAGAACCCAAGTATATTGCTTTTTTGTTCCACTTAGAAGTTTTTGAGGGCTAATACATTTTTCAATGGCTGCACATTTGGCAAGAAGGTAAGACATTTCTTGCTACTATAATGGGTTTAGATAAGTATGAATCGTGCCCAAATAAAGAGCAGTACATGTTCTAGTCACGCTGTCATGCAATTTAATTTGTCCATAATAATTTTTGAAAGAATTTGTTCATTGATAGTGTATAAGAATTTTTACACCATTATGTTAAACTTGACATACAACAACATGTAATTATTAGTAACAATTTGTTATATCCAGTGTAAAAAATCTTTTCATATTGGGGTTGGTAACTTTAACCCTTTTGAAAACTCAAAATTGAAATCTGGTCTCGAGTATAGATATGTGTGTGTTCTTTATTTGGAAACAAGAAAGTATGATAATACATGTCATACTCTACAAAATATGAATATGCTTTATCTTTTTTCTCCACAGCTTTTTCTCTTGTTATTGGTTTTATTTCTTGGAGCAGAATTGGGATCAATAAAGGATTTGTTGCCAAAATGGCCAAAATTTGTTACTATCATTAAGCCTCCAAGGGTATGAATAGTGAGAACTTATGAGTATTTCATTTATTTTCTTGTACTTTATTGTTTAACCTATCTTTTTTACTTAAACAGGAATAAATGCTTAAAGTTTAAGATGTAATATCCCCTTTCTTTTTGATTTATTTAAGCATGTTTAGTATTGAAACCAAACGGCATGAATGTTCTTTCCTATACCTATCTCTATGTTAAATATACCTTTCTATATGAAAATCTTACACGAACACGACTTATAAAATAAAAGGATTTAAATTATATACATATTATAAAGAGTTTTGATACTATCATTGTAATTTTAACTCGAGGTGAAATATAAAAAATAACATGCATGATCATTATTAATTATTTTAGGCTTGAAGGTAGGGTTGCAATTATAACTGGTGCTGCTAGTGGCATCGGCGAAGCAGCTGCGAGACTTTTCTCAAAACATAGAGCTAAAGTGGTGATTGCAGATATCCAAGATGATTTGTCACAAAAAGTTTGCAAAGAATTGGATCCATCATCAACCACATTTGTGCATTGTGACGTTACTAAAGAAGAAGAACTAGAAAATGCTGTGAACATTGCTGTATCCAAGTATGGCAAGCTAGACATCATGTACAACAATGCTGGTATTATGGGAGCAGTAAAATCTAACATTCTTGATAATGAAAAATCCGAATTCGAAAAAGTCATCAGTATTAACCTCGTAGGTACGGGATGATCGCACTTTTAATCTCTAGGTTATTGATATATCCTGATTTTGCTCCTTGTAATATTTCATACTAAGCATATTTCACTTAGAATTAATCAAAATGTGTTTTAAATCCCTTTCTATAGCGGAGGCGGACGCACCCGGAGACTTCGGCAAAAACTTCATGTATACTTGCAAATGTCTTAAGAAATAGTCAGATCTTAGCATAGGTCCATGTACCAATCTTTGTGAACAGTAAATTTATATTGAATGTCATGGTGCTCCTGTGATGGTCGAATCCGCCTCTGTAATCTATAGCAAATATGTTATACTTAGATTATTTTTAGAATTATATTAACCTAGATATGCCTTAAGAGCGGAAGGATCAAAAATGCACATTGAAAGTTAAAAATACTTAATTAACCAAATATCACAAGGATTAAAACCAGAATTCGTTGTTGATATATCAACAACTAAAAGCTCAAATTTCCCTTGCAGGAACATTTCTTGGGATTAAACAAGCAGCCCGAGTCATGATCCCTCGTCGTCAAGGTAGCATAATTGTCACTGGTAGTGTTTGTTCATCGATAGGTGGTGTTTGTCCTCATGCCTACACGAGTTCAAAGCATGGAGTTTTAGGACTTACTAGGAATGCTGCAGTTGATTTAGGACGTTATGGCATTCGTGTGAATTGTGTTTCACCATACGTTGTTCTTACACAAATGGCTTTTGATTCTTTAAAGAAGATGGGCAAAGAAGGTTCAGATGTTTATTCTACCTTAAATGGTGCAATACTCACTCCAAATGATGTGGCTGAAACAGCTGTTTTCCTCGCAAGTGATGAGTCCAAGTGTGTGAGTGGCCAAGATTTTGTTATTGATGGTGGATTTACCATTGAGAATTCAGGTTTCTCACTTTTCAAGTAATTTTACTTGAATAAGTTACCTGTGGTTTAGTCTTTTGTTACTTCTTATATGGTTTTGTACAATGTAAGGTTGCTAATACAATGTAAGCGAGACTTTTCTCAAGGCATACGTGTCTCCATAGAGTATCTTTAAACATAGGTATGATTATCAACTGCAACATAAAATTTTCACCTTCAATATTTTCCTAATTTACAAATCTGAATTATCTTGATCCAAAATACCAACAGGGCTACTATTCCCTAGAAAGTTGGAAGTGGACGTTACATATAATTATCCAATCAGAACCTCTTAATATCTCTTAGGAACCATTAAAACCAATTGAAAGCTGACTCAGACATGGTATACCTGCAACAGAAAACACCGGCAGCTTGTAAACAACTTTAGAAGTTGATAACTAAGCAATATCTTAAACGAGATTCACCAAAAAAAAACTTAAAACTAAATACAGAATCCAAACCTGTTATACCCAATGAATTTTAATGCGGAAAATTTGAATGTGCTTTGCTACTACACTCGTAACCGGATTTGTGGTGTCAATGACACCCTGTACACTCATGAACGTCTGAACGCCTAATCCAAGAAAACAAAACAATAAAAGAAAGGCTAGTTAATCCACAATGTACATCATCACCAATCACTCTTCTCACAGGTATATTACATGATGTAAGATTTCACACCAACACAAATTAATGCATGTTCTTGTGTACCCAGGTCCCTGTGTATGTGAAAGCACAAAACTAATAAGTAACCTCACCAAGTTTACAACAACTAAGCCTCGGTCCCAAAAAGTTGGGATCGGCAACATGAATCCTCACTTCTTTCTTTAAGTCCAACTCATATCATCATCAATACCCAAAAAAAAAGTGAAGTATAAGAAGAAGATTGTAATAATATTAAAAGTTCTCTAACAAATTAAAAGCATATCCCTAACTAGTAAGTATCACATGTATGGATCGTTTTTTTCAATTGTGCCCTATCTACAGTTAAGTCTACATTAATTCCAAGAATTTTTAGGCCTTTCAAGACAACTACTTCCATGTGATTTTAGGTCTACCTTGTCCCCTTTTTAACACATTCACTCACCATAGTTTCACACCTACGAACCGGTGCCTTTGTAACGCGACGCAAAACATAACGAAACTATCTCAAAGTGACCTCTCATTTTATCCTCAATGCGTGTTACTTGCACCTTTGGCGAATGTGGTCGATTTTAATCTTTATCCAATCTTGTATGACCGCACATCCATCTTAGCATTCGCATCTCTGCAACACTTATCTTATGGATATGTCGGACTTTAGCAACACAACATTCACTACCATATAACATAGCGGGTCTTATAGTTGTTATATAGAACTTTACCTTTCACTTTGGTAGGCATCCTTCTATCACATAACCCCCCAGCAACACTGCTCCATTTCAATCATCGGGTTTAATTCTACGGATAACATCTTCATCTATCATTCCATTCTCTTGAAACAATGAACATAGATATATAAATCGTTTGCATTTTGGCACCGCAGTCGCATCTAGTCTCACCCCAACTTCTTCTTCTTGTTGACTATACTTGCAGTGTATGTATTCAATCTTACTTCTACTTATCCTAAAGCTCTTACTCTCCAAGGTGCTTCTCCATATCTCAAGCTTTCGGTTGAGACATTCGCTAGTTTGGGACCCAAAAAAGGAAAAGAAAAAGAAAAAAGCAAACCAACTAAATAAATGTATGTTTGACAATATATCCCAATTTTCACTGAAAAGAAAACAATCCCTTTCATATCTTCATGCATTATATGTCATGAGTTGAGAAAATTATCAATTCATTTTTCATGCATTGAAAAAGAAAAATATGAAGCAACGCTTCCCCACCAATGGAACCAAGTGGCTACTTATCTAAGTTAATCCACATCACTATGGACTTTCTACTTAAAGAAAAATTTGCTCAATAACAGAGTGGGACGAAAGTTACCTTATTTAGCTCATTTTTCTGGAATGTTTGGATACCAGAAAGAACTCCATTGCCATCAGTTCTTGACTTCTGAAAAAGTAATCAATAGACAATGGTTACTCGATGTAATAATGAGAAAGATATCAGCTTCAATACAAGTCTAAGCTCCACAAATGTCTCTTTAAGTTTAACTGATTTATGGCTTGCTCAGTTGGTAAAAGCACCTCCACCCACGACTGTTAGGTCCTGTGTTCGAGTCACGTTGGAGGGGAAGTGTGGAAACACTATAGATCCTCCTAATTTGGGAGGAGTTTAAAAAAATTAACTGATTCATAAAGGGCAATAATATTGACCTACAGATGTCATAGCAGAAATTTAGCAAGAACATATATCTCGACCACGTGTTTGCACATAACCATTCTCCCATACAGATATTTACCACTAACTGCAAATATGTTCAACACGTATACATTTTTATGCTCAAAGAGTTTAATTGAAAATATTAGATGAAACTTAGAATTCGATCATGGGAAAAGATATGAAAACAACAGGACCATGACAAGAAGCATAAAATTCATTCTCAGTCCGCAAGCCTAGCACAAGCATTTAAGTTATAGAAAATTGCTAAGAAAGAAGTCAAATTTCAGTTTGGATTTAACCAATATCGCAGACATAAAACCTGAATTCTGTGTTACCTTTACTTGCTGTGTCAGAAACAAATCTGGACCATAATTCTGTATCTTGCTCCCATTTTTCTCCTTATTGTTAACCCTGCTTGATTTAGGTTCCTTAGCAATGCAACTGCTAGGATCCTGCTTCCTCGACCTATCTATGTGTTTGTGGTTTTTATGCTTCTTCTTTTCCTTGCTTCCATTCTTCAATTTAGATGCACCTGTAGGGAACCCAAGTTCTGCCTATTGACACAAACATAAGTTACTGAGGAAATTTTATGACAAGACTGGATTAGTACAGCAGATGAAGGCTTGAGCTAGCACTTCCCAAAACAGTAAAAGAGCACATTGAGGATTAAATGGTGGATTATTACCAATGGCAGATCGGTGGATGTTGCTTCTCTTAGCTGAAAAGCATCTGTAAGAAGATCCAAGCCAAAAGGACGCAACTGTACATGTCTCTTCCCCACACAGGAGGAATTTTGGGACAGCTGATCGAGCTCCATTCCTTCACCTTTCCTTATTTCTGTGTCCCCCACCACATTCCTGAGGTATTGCGTCTCACATAGAGAGAGTGGCAGTGACCTCTTGCAGAAAAAATAAAGATGTTTCCTAAGTTTACAATGGTCTAAAAGATCAACTGAACCACCAAGTTCTCTAGGTCCTGAAGACACAAGAAAACAGGCCCACGTGATGGAAAATCCATTCAGATAACAAATATCCAATAGAGAGAATGTAAAAACATTGGTAAAGCTAATGTTAAAGCCGAAATTGAACCCACACGTCAATAGTTCAATTCACACTATATGCTTCACTTGACCATTTCAATTCTTTCTTCTCATCCTTATCATTGTTCACCTGCCACCTTAAATTTGCCATCTATCACTTTTATTTCCTCCTAGCCCCATGACATTCCCAAAGTCCGGCAAATTTCCTTCTTTAATATTTCAGTGGCAAGCACAGACCTAAAAATGGTTTCGAACATTTCTTTTCTTTTTTAAACGTACTCTCAGAACCTGAGCTCAGTACGTTAATAATCCACTTTATATGTGGCATGAGCAAAGTTAAACACTTCACTTAGCTGACTTGTGGTGTGGAAAATCTTGAATGTGGAATAGAGCAATTAACAAGGTATGAAATGTAGAGAGAGATCGTAGAGAATATGTCACCCACTACCTCTTTAGTTCAACTCGGGAGTCGGGAGGAACATAGAAACAAACATATAATGTTAATGTCAATGAACATATAAACATTTATGTTGCATTGTTAATCCAGGCCTCGTGGTAACATTAGTACACCTAAATTAATCACAATCAGTAAGTTAACTCTGCCTGGTCTATAAATGATTTGTGGAAGGAAAATAAAAATATCCCTCCTACAGATCTCCTATGAGCTAAAATAATGTCAGAGAAAAGATTTTGTAATATCTAATAAAGCGTGGCAGTAACACATGTCAGAAGTAGTCAGCTTAAGACTTTCATCAAATTTCATCAACTGATCTGTTTATGATCAGAAGCATTTTGAAGCTCCAATTTTGCTCTATCACTGTTTTAAACCTCACGAGCTTTTTTTCTCATCGTGACGCTCTGATGGACAGTGAATATAGTAATAGAATCAATCAAAAAGGAGTTTTTCCACCATAGGAGGTGATGAAAAGTTGAAGAACAAGTTTATTTCAGACAAAACAGTTTATTTCTTGACCATTATTTTATAGAGTTCTGCTACACTATCAATGAGTAGGAAAATGATTTCAGATTTTTTTTTTTTTTTTTAAAAAAAAACTAGCACTGCTTTGAGCCATTGCTCCGGAAGGTATTACCAGATATATATAAATTAAATTCGCCGGAAAATTATATTGTATTGCTAGATAAATTTTTCTGTTTTATGTATATTTATTATACATTGACTCCCCTAAACTTTTCGGTGTATCCATACTTTTATATTTTGACACCCTTTGGAGAAAATTCTGGCTCCCCCATTGTCTATACTATAAATACATGTAATAATGGATCCTCACGAGTGTGACTAATTAAGTATTAGCAGAAAGGGCCATGCTTATATCTTGACCACTAGTTAATCATTCAAAATATATCTTGACGACAAGTTAGTCACCTAATGCCAAAGTTTCGATCTTGCACCAAGCAGGATTTCTCTAAGATTCTAGTTTTGATGACCTTGGAATCATCATCAAACCAGAAATTCCATGGAATAATAAAGTTCTCAGACTTTCATTAGAAAAGACTAATGAATGTCAGATGTGGTATCAGAAAAATAAAACTCCACTAAATAAGAAAGAGCATTCTGTAGAACTAAGGCGCCTGCCAAGGTGAATTGCTTCACCTGGATAGCTATAAAGGGGGTATGTCTCACTCAAGACAACTTAAGCAAGAGGAACATTACACTTGTTAACAGATGTTACATGTGTCAACAAAATTCAGAAAGTGTCAATCATTTTTTCCTCCATTGCGCAGCTGCAAGTGAAATTTGGAATCTCTTCTTCTCTATTTTTGGTCTGAAATGGGTTATGCCTCAGACAATAAAGCAAGCATATGAAAGTTGGTGTTTTTGGAGAGTTGACAAAGCCATCAAGAGGATTTGGAGAATGGTTCCAGCAGTAATTTTTTTGTGTATCTAGAGGATATGAAGAGGTGTTTTGATGGCATCTCACTCCAACCTACTCCCTCAAGACTATTTGCTTAGTTAATCTATTTAGCTGGATTCATCTTTCCCCTGTAACTAGTGCAGATCACCTTATGGATTTCATTAGCTCCCTGTTCTTAGCATAGATTTTTGCACTGGAGCTAGTTATCTACCTTTTTGTACCTTCTGCATCTTCTTGATGCCTATTAATGAATCACCCTTACTTCATCAAAATAAAAAAGAGCATTCTGGTCTACAAACTAGCATTCATGGCGTAAAAGTATTACGCTATTGAAGCAAAGGGGGAAAACAATCTAGGAGCAAATACTGTAAGAAGTTTAATACCCTCAAAACATCCTACCTCTTCCAAACTTTCTGAGATCAAGATCCATCACGATTATGCAGTTACTGAATTGAATATAAAAGGACCTTCAAAGAGAAGATATATTAGCAGCTTGCATATAGCCACAAAGAAGAACACGCCACCACTTAAATAGTATACCATAAAAAAGGGGGAAAATAAAGAAATATAAGGATAGCAATCAAAAATATTGCAACTACAGATAATCAGTAAAAACAACACTTTGCTCAAGTCTGTTGACTCTCAGCTCTCCCCACTAAACCAGTAAACATATGACCACAGAACAAACTTAGTTGACAAACACCAGTACAACTGCATGTGCAAAAACTTCTAGTATATGCCAGGGTCAATCAACATTTTGAGTCCCTACAGTTGCCATAACATTTCATATGCGAAACTACCCTTAAATTACCTCAGGAATTTATCTTTATATTTCCTTTTAGAAAATTAGATAATTGATTCAAATCAATTTATCCGTATACTTAAACTGCATTATCTCCTCCATATGAAGATAAACCATTTTACACAATCCAAAGTGAGAACGGGCACATATTATGGCAGCCTATATTATAGGTCGGTCCATGATAATTAATAGTCTGCAACCCCCTACAGACAGGATTTGAAGCTTATGGATTCTAGATTCCAAATCTTTTAAGTTATAGGGTTCTAAATTAATAATTTGTTCATATTTACTAAATTTCTTAAAGACAAATACATGATTTGTATCAAAACTACTAGGTTCGATTCAACCTGTAGCTCCTATTCTCTCTTTGCCCCTGCACCCCTCAATTCCAAATCAGTTGAGTTCAACTATATAAATCATCTATATCCATTCTGCTGCATTGGAGTCGGTATAATTTCACTACTCATAATTTATCTTTTTCAAAATACTTTGGGATTCTCCAAATCTTACGCCTATTCCTACACTATCCTACAATGTCTCATGCATAATGTAAGTGTAATGATAATTGATAATCTTGTGAGCTGGCTATTATATTAACCACCGATTTATCTGATAATCAAATATATATTTGGACAGATTGATTAGGAATCAAGGGAACCTTAAATCAATTTATTTCAAAAGCATTCGAAATAGCAGAGACTATTTAAATCAATATTTGGATGGTAAGAATGAGTTGGTAAATGGCTTGAAATTTTAAAATGAATATAAAGTTATTCCAAATAATGGGGAACTCGAAATTGGAAAAGGGATTAGGGTTTATTTACTTACTCGAATTGCCGGAAGAGAAAGAGGATGAGGAAATAGAAGAAAGCCCCTTATTTTGGGTTTATATAGAATTGGAGGAAATAGAAGAAAGCCCCTAACTAGATTTGGGCTATCTGTTGAAATGGGCTAATTGGGCCAGAAGGCAGTGGGCCGTGTCAGTTTGAAATGTAAAAATTATATGGGGCTAACTATTTGGTCGCCCCTTATCAACTTGTACCCATTTTATTTTTCCGTTTGAATACGTACCCGTTTTTTTGTTAAAAGCATTTTAAAAAGATGATTTTGTCCTTCTTTAATAAAAGACTATTGACAAAATTGTAGACTGCATGACAAAATTTCAGTATGTTTTGGTATGAAATTTTAGCAAATGAACTAAATAACTTCAACATGCATTAGCAAAAACTCATTAGAAAATTACATACTGCAAGACAAAAACTTATGCATGTTTAGTCTAAAATTTTAGCAAATGAACTAAACAATTTCAGCTTGTTTGGACTGAAACTTCGGATAAAACTCATGACAAAACTGTAGACTATAGGACAAAACTTCAGCATGTTTTGGTATGAAATTTTAGCAAATGATTTAAATAACTCCAGCATGCATTAGCAAAAACTCATTAAAAAATTACATACTGCAAGATAAAAACTTAAGCATGTTTAGTCTGAAATTTTAGCAAATGAACTAAAAAACTTCAGCATGTTTAGACTGAAGTTTCGGATAAAACTCATGACAAAATTGTAGACTGCAGGATAAATAACTTCAGCATGTATTAGCATGAAGTTTTAGCTTCGATATAAAAATTTTCACGAATGAGGTTGCAGATCACGCTATTAATGCGTGATACATATTTTATATCTTTTGTCAGAGGTATAATTGTCATATTATTACGAACTTTTTGTCAACTGACTACCAAATCAATAATTTTTAAAAATAGGGTACAGGTTAAAAGGTGATACAAATATAGGGTACAGCGGCAAATCACTCATTTGACATCGAGCAAATTGCACAAACACCCTATTTTAGTGACACTGTTTAACTTATACCCAATTCGTAAAAATTATTTAATCTTTACCCAGTTTGTACTTTGTAGTAAGTAACAATTGTATAGACAAAAATACCCCTAAACTACTGTGAAGCTGTTTGCTTCGCTACCATCCGTATATCGTCGGATCCTTTCAAGTTCAATCGCATAAAACGACCAATACACAGTAGAATTCTTGTGGCATTAAGAAAAAACGTATTTTCTGACCAAAAAAAAAAGAAGAAAAATAAATTCAATCCATTTATTGGAATTTGGAGTTATCAAAAACTTTGGAATGGCCAAAAAGAAGAGAACTTTTGCACCTCCATAAAAATTTCACATGTAGTGTTTCCCTTTTAATTAATTTTTGTACGCAATCACATGTGGGAGCTATAACAGTAATGGCCGTCAATGTTGGAACTATAAGTGAATCAATAGAAAAACCGCTCATAAAAAGGTTAAACACAATATGATAGAAAGAAGATCAATTAATTAAATCTTTCGGAAGCAACAGAACCATGTATTCATATAAAACTCAGGTAATCGAACATATTCACGTGCAACAAACAAAGAGAGCATCAACGGCATTACTTTTATAGCTCTGACAGTAGGCTACTTGAATGGTGCTTAAACGAAGCAAACTTCAGACCCTCGTATCCGAAGCTTATTTTCTAGCAGTACCGACTTCAGACACTCGGCTCTGAAGTTTGCTTGCAGTATTACAAACTTTAGTCTTCAGACATAGCAGTGCAACTTCAGACCCGAGGTCTGAAGTTCACTTGCAGCATCAAAAACTTCAGACGTAGTAGTACAACTTGAGACACGAACAAGTACAAACTTCAGAAATTTGCATCTGAAGTTCACTTGTAGCATTAAAAACTTCAGACATAGCACTACAACTTCAGACACTTTACTTGCAGCAAGTAAAAATTAACTTGAGACATTCACGTCTGAAGTTCACTTGCAGCAAGTGCAAACTTCAGACACTCGCATCTAAAGTTCACTTGCAGCAAGTGAAAACTTCAGACACTCGCATCTGAAGTTCACTTACAACTGTGCAAATTTCAGACACTCAAATCTGAATGTTTGGCAACGCAATAAGTCAATTTCAGATCGAGCTCGCAAGATAATTACACATTTTTATAAAGTTAACATCTTATGTCCACATTTTTTTCTTTCCTTTTTCCCATTTTAACTATTCGATAGAGAGAACTATGCATTTATTTAAGGAAGCAGTATAGTTTGACAATACTTACAAAAGCATCTATCCTACTAGCTACAGCTGAAAGATAAGTTTCATAAAACTGACTGCAATATTTTAAAACATTGGCCAACTAAATGAGAGAACCAAAAAAACAATACCCAAGAGAGGGAGAGAGCTTACCAATATACTTTCACAGACCGATTAAAATAATAATCATGCTAAAATTATGGAAAATTTTTTGTTATATTATTCTCTCCAAAGTCAACATAACAAAATTGTATCGAAAAGAACAAAAGCTAGTAATTAATTAGATTTGAAAAACTATTCATTTTTACATGTAAAAATTAGAATAATCAGAAGATATATTAAATTCGTCAGTGTAATAGTAGCTTAAGCCTCAGCTAAGCTTTAATGGTGATGAGAACTAGACTTCTACTCCATGGGAGGGTTACAGTGAAGAGAATGAAGAAGGAAAGAGAGTGAAGCTTCTAGAATTTCATTTCTCTTCAAAATTAAAATGTGAGTTGAGAGTTCACTATATACAAAAACGAAAATGTTAAGAAAAATATAGTCCACTAACTAAAGCTATTACAGCTGTCATTTAACTAATACGTTCCACTAACTGATAGCTAACACTAACAACTCTTCTCCAATAACTAAGTTAGTGACTAAGCTAAGCTAAGCTAAGTAAATAATTAATCTTAACACCCCTTTCAAGTTGGAGGTGTGGTGAACACAGCCAACTTGCCTAATGTAGCACTATGCTTGATCCTAGTCAAGGATTTAGTCAAAACATATGCAAGCTGATTGTCTGTTCGGATATGGTGGAGAGAAATTAGGCATGCTTGTAATTGATCACGCACAAAATGGCAATCCACTTCTATATGCTTGGTCCTTTCGTGAAATACTGGATTCTTTGCAATGTGCAGTGCAGATTGACTGTCACAAAATACTGAGATAGGCAAGGAAAAAGGAACAGTCAGTTCTTCAAATAGTCAGCTCAACCATACTAGTTCCCTTACTACTTTCCTCATAGCTCTATACTCTGCTCTGTAGAGGATAAATATATAGTCTCTTGTTTCTTAGATTTTCAGCTGATAGGACTGTTGCCTAGTAGCACTAAATAACTTGTAATGGACCTCCTATAATCCGGGCAGGCTGCCCAATCAGAATCACAATAGGCTTTAACTGTGTGATCTCCATCCTTTGACATGAAAATTCCCAAAGTAGGGTCATTTCTCAAATATCCGAACAGATAAAATGCTGCTTTCAGGTGAAGTTCTCTAGGTTCCTGCATAAACTGGCTCAAGTGTTGGACACTATATGCAATGTCCAATATGGTGTTAGTTAGAAAATTTAATTTATCTACTAGCTTTCCATAATAGGTAGGATCCTGTAGGATTGTGCCTTCTCTAGCCTTCAGCTTTATAGTGGGATCCAAGGGTGAAGAAGAAGGCTTGTAATCCAAATAATTGTATTCTCTTAGCAGGTCTAGCACAAACTTCCTTTGAGATATAATAACTCCATCATCTTTATACATAATCTCCAATCCCATGAAGTAGTGCAGCCGCCCCAGGTACTTGATCTTGAATTGTTCATGTAGAAATGCTTTGAGTTGTGCAATTTCATGTTGGTCAGTTCCAGTGAGTAGTACATCATCCACATATACTGCAACATATACTGAGGATTCTCCATTTCTTTTATAAAAAAGTGAGTAGTCATACATGGAATGTATATAGCCCTTTGAATACAATGTCTCAGTCAACTTTGCATACCATTGTTGACTGGCTTGTTTTAAGCCATAAAGAGATTTGGTCAGTTTACAAATCAATCATGGTTTATCCACAACAAGCCCAGGTGGTACCTGCATATACACCTCCTCATTGAGGTCTCCTCCAATCCATGGAGGAAAATATTGTTCACATCTAATTGAGATATGAACCAACCTTTCTTAACTGCTGTAGCTATCAAAGCCCTCACTGTTGTCATCTTTACCACTGGTGAGAATGTTTCTGTATAATCAATTCCTGCCTGCCGAGTGTAGCTTTTAACAACCAGCCTGGCTTTGAACCTTTCTATGCTGCCATCTGCTTTGTGTTTCACCTTGTAGACCCATCTGCAACCTATTGTTTGTTTCCCAGGTGGCAGAGTTACTAGGTCCCAAGTGTGATTAGAATATAGTGCTTTAAATTCCTATGTCATTGCTGCTTGCCATGTAGGATCAATGGGCCTCCTCATATGATGATGGTTCCCTGTCATGACAAACATTTCTCACAAGAGTCTGACTGTTAGAGGTTAGTAGATCAGAGGTAATGTGGTGATTCATAGAGAATAAGGCATTTAGGGTAACATGATTTGTTTTAAGGTGGGGAAGGGAATGTACATAATCTTGCAAACAAATAGGTGGTTTATGAGTTCTTTGAGATTGCCTCAGTTGGACAGGTTCTGCATGGGTCTGTTCAGTGTAACAATATTGTGGTGAATTAGGTAATGAATAAAAGGGTACTGTAGGAGGTGATGGGGAAGATACATGTATAGGTGACATAGGATTGGATGTGCTATCAGGACTCCTTTGATCATTGAAATCTTCAGACAGTTGTGTAATATTTGTACTATCGGAGGGTTGTTCACATAGAGACTCAATGAAGGGAATTGAATGAGGGACAGATGATTGAGGAGATTTGTTCATGTTGACTGCAAAAGGAAAGATGGACTCATTGAAGACTACATCTCTGGAGATATGAATCTTTCCGGTGGCTAGACTCAAGACTTGTACCCCTTTGTGTTGAAAGGATAGCCAATAAATACATGTGGTGTTGTTCTGGGTTCAAACTTGTCCCTATATGGTATTGGTACAGTAGGGTAGCATAAGCAACCAAAACTCTTTAGGTGGGAATACTTTGGCTTTCTTTTATACAATAGTTCATATGGAGTTTGGTTGTTAGTTGAAGTAGAAGGCAACCTGTTTATAATGTATATGGCATAAAGAACGCATTCACCCCATTATCTTAAAGGCAATTTGGATTGGAAGAGAAGTGCTCTGGCTGTTTCAAGGAGATATTTGTATTTTCTTTCCACTGCACCATTCTGATGTGGTATGTAGGGACAGGTTCTTTGATGGATGATGCCTTTAGATTGAAACAACATACTTGATTATGTGTTAGTGAACTCTAATCCATTGTCTGACCTTATGGATTTGATAGTTACACCAAATTGGTTTTCTACTAGATTTATGAATCCTTTGAGTGTTTGAAGGGCATTACTTTTGCTGGATAAAAGGTGAGTCCAAGTAGATCTACTAAAATTATCCATCATAGTTATAAAGTATTTGTATCTACCATGTGTAGGAACATGATATGGACCCTACAAATCAACATATAGAAGTTCAAAAATTCTGTTGGTTGTACTGGTTTTATGAGGGAATGGCAGTCTTTCTTGTCTAGCCATTAGGCAAATGGTGCAGTTGAAGGGTTGTTTGGGAGAGAAATTGACAGGAATAGTAGTAATATTTCTCATTTTGGTAAAGGGGATATGTCCAAGTCTGTTATGCCATAATACATCCATATTGACTTTAGTACATAAATGAGAAAATATACTAGGAACCTTAGAAGATGGACTTGTAAAGGAAAGTTGTTCTTCAGTATTTTCACATGGATTATTTATAACTAGATAAGAGGAAACATACTTATTGACATGCAATGACCTATTTACAGTAGAATGAGAGGGACAATGTGTGTTACAAGTGCAACAAGTAGAAGTAGTGGACAAGGCATTAGTGGTCTTTACTGCAGGGCTTGCACTGTTGCTCCTCAGGCAGCTTGGGCACAAGATGTACAACCCATCTTTGACTCTACCAATCACCAAGAGGCCTCTTCATTGAAGGGGCCTGCAGTATGCAACAGTGTTTGACAAAAGCAACAAGACAATTAAAATGAGAGGCCAAAGAATGAAAAAAGATCGGATTGTATCTAAACGATGGGACAAACATCACTTTGTCTAGGGTGATCTTAGGAGTGAGCATCACACTACCAATTTTTGTCGCCTTTACCTTGTAGCCATTTGGAAGTACAACTAATAAAGGATGGGGTAAGGTTATTATCTTGGTTAATAGGGATTTGTTAAAGGTCATGTTATTTGATGCCCCTGAATCTATAATCCATGAGTCAGCTTTGTTTTTGAAACATTCACATGACAGTTTACCAAAATCAATAGAGGAAGTACAAGCTATAATACCTGCAAAGTTTGTTGCTCCTGATGCAGTATTAGTACTAGTTGTGCAGTCTCTTCCTCCTCCTGATTGAAACTGCTGTAGTAGACTCACCAACTGGTTGTATTCCTCTTGAGTGAGACTCACATTTTGAGTATTATCATGAGCAACATGTTTCTCAGTTTCAACATGTTGTGTATCAGTGGTTGCTACATATGTATTAGCCACTGTTCTATTTCTTCTATTAAACCTATTATTCTAGTTGTTGTTGGAATTGTGATTGTAGTTGCAACTTTGTCTGGGATTTTGATTGAAGTTGGAGGTCTGATTGTGATTTATATTTGGATTATGATTCTGACTGAAACTTTGAGGATATCCATGCAGCTTATAACATTTCTCTTTGGTGTGCCATGGTCTCTTACAATAATCACAAAAAGGTCTGTTCCTATTGTTGTGATTGTTATTGGGAGAATAATTTTTCTTGAATGAACCATGTCTATTTGTGCTAGAACTTAAAGCTGATGACTCTAGAGCCAAATGATTATTTGGCTTGATTTCTCTCTGTCTTTCCTCTTGAATTAGCAATGAAAAGGCTCGGGCAATTGAAGGAAGAGGATTCATCATGAGTATACTGTCTCGAACTATAGTGTATGTCTCATTCAATCCCATGAGAAACTGTATCAACCTCCTATCCTGCTCGGCTTTGTGCATGCTTTCCTTAGCTCCACATGTACAATTACAAGTGCAATGAGATTTGACAATCAAAGTGTTGAGTTCCTCCCATAACTTCTTCATTTTAGTATGGTAACCAGTGATATCAAGGCCTCCTTGGGATAGATCACTGATTTTCTTTTGGATCTGGTAGAGTTTTGTTCCGTTTGTTTGATCATATCGATATTCAAGTTCTCTCCACATTTCAAATGCATCTGTCATATATTCAGTACTATCTGCAATCTCCTTAGTTAAGGAGTTTAGAATCCATGAGGTGACCATGTCATCGCATCTTTCCCATAGTCAAAATTTCGATGAGTCTGGATCTGGTCTCTTGCATTCCCCGTTGATGAATCCCAGCTTATTTTTCACTGATAGGGCTCACATTACACCCCTTCTCCATGATCGATATCCAAAATCATCAAATGGAATAGGAACCAACGCTGCTCCGGGATTATCATATGGATGCATATACAAGGGACTAATGATATCAACACTTGACTGATTAGGCGGTTCAGCCATGGTCGATGTAGATTGATCATCATCTTCGACAATAGTCATCTCGTACAGTATGAAATTTCTAAGTGATTGAGAACTATAAAATAATAATTACAAATCTAGAAGCAATTTTCAAGTGATTACAAAAATAAAGAAGTTTGAAATTGATGAAAAATGAACTTGCATGTGTGCGATCTTATTGAGATCGAGATTGACGTAATTAGAACTAACCGATTCAGAGACGAGTCCAAACTTATGCTCCTTGCTCTGATACCATATTAAATTCGTCGGTGTAACAATAGCTTAAGCCTCAGCTAAGCTTTAATGGTGATGAGAACTGGACTTCTACTCCATGGGAGGTTACAATGAAGAGAATGAAGAAGGAGAGAGCGTGAAGCTTCTAGAATTTTATTTTTCTTCAAAATTAAAATGTGAGTGGAGAGTCCACTATATACAAACATGAAAATGTTAAGAAAAATGAAGTCCACTAACTAAAGCTATTACAACTGTCATTTAACTAATACGTTCCACTAACCGACAGCTAACACTAACAACTCTGCTCCAATAATTAAGCTAGTAACTAAGCTAAGCTAAGTGAATAATTAATTCTAACAAGGTAAAACATTATTTTCATCATGTTCCAACTTAGTTTGCTATGAAAAGTCAAAGTTCACACGAACATATTTGAGAGTCCTTTTCATAACATTAGAGAAGTGCTTAGAGTAAGCAATATCTTGAAATAAGAGAGATGGCTTTTTGAAATCTAATTTTTACTTTTAAATCTAACTTATCTTTTTGAAATGGCCCATTAGATGTTTTGTTCACAACAAAAGAATAGAAAAGAATAAGAGACTGTTATACAAATAGCTAGTCATATTCACTGTTTGCTTTTTCTAGCTAGTATACATAAGTTATACATTAATTATACATATTTACATACATATTATATATGAATTATATATATATATATATAATACATTCGTCGGCTATTTTTAGTTTAAGAAATTAGGTGGACGCCTAATTGGGTTATTTCATCATGTCCTAAAGATGGTACTAATAATTTTTAAGGAGTGTCCTCTGCTTGACACCCATTTAACTTTCGTTCCTATTTTTAGAAGGTTGAGAAATATACATTATCCACCACAACTTCTCCTCCTCCTTCTTCTTTGTAACATTTTACAAAAAATTACAGACTCGTCGCTTATTTGTGGTTAGGTTGGATTGATTTGTTGAAAATACTTAAAAACTATTGTTGAGTGTTACTTGATTGTTGAAGAAAATAAAGTGGGTTTATTGTTTTTTGAAGTTTTGAATTGAATCTAACAACTGAGAATTCTTGTGATTAGTATCAGATGATTGGATATCAATTTTGGAGTTGATTTAGATCGATTCTGATCAATATTGAAGGAAAAATGTGTTGGTAAACAATTTATTATAAAAGGCACAATTCGTACTGGAGTCGTGCAGATCTATCAGACTTTGGTTGATTCGCCATGACTTGCAACCAAATTCTAATTCGCAAGCTAATTTGGCAGAATATATTTAAATAAGGTCAAAACTTAAATAGTGACGCACTAAATAGCCAATTTGTGCAAATCGTCATTTGAAATCTAATTTGCCTATAAGATATATTTTTTTTTTCTTGTCGCCCGTAAATAGTTTTTCAGGAGAAGAATTATGTTCAAAAGACGGAACAACATATTGGTGACATGGGGTGTGTTTGGTATAACGGAAAATATTTTCTTGGAAAACAAGTAGTAATCTTATTTATTTTTCGGTGTTTGGTACGCAAATTAAGGAAAATAACTTTTCAAGAGTATTCATAAATAATTTAGATACAATAAACATGAAGTCATAAACTTTCGAACCAACCTTTCGAACCCACAAATTTCATAAACTTCCGAATCTCTAAATTTTTGAAACCGCGAAATTTCGAACCCGTAAACTTTATAATTTCTAAACCCGTAAACTTCCAAACACATAAACCTCTGAAAATATATAAAAAAAATATTATTTTTTTTCGGGGAGGGGGAGGGCAGGGGTGCGCAAAAACGAAAAAACAGAAATTTAAAAATTACCAAAAAAAGTAAAAAAAAGTTTTTTTGCGCGGGGGAGGGGGGTGGGTGGTGACGGAAAAAAAACTAAAATTTGAAAGAAAAAAAAACCTTTTTTGAGAGAGGGGTGAAGTTAGGTGGGCAGGTGTGAGGGTGTGGGGTGAGGGTGGGAAAGGTTGAGAAGGAGTTTTAGAAAATGTTTTCCCTTCTCTTGATAAGAAAAATATTTTCCAAAACATTTAAATCAACCAATTTTTCGAAAAATATTTTCCTTCGTACCAAACACACCCTCATGATTTTTTCGAACAGTTAATAGTGGAATGGAAAATGCTGGGGAAAAAATATAATGGAATAGGAAAGATAAATTTGAGTAGTGGTCTTGTAATCTATGCACGTTTATTTGGTAAATAAACTTTCTGAATGTTATTTTGCATTAAAAATTTAATGGGCATATAAGCCTCTTTTCTTCTTTTAATTTGGACATATAAGTCTTGAGACTAGAACTTTTACAAAGTTTTGCATCTTTGGCCCTAATCCATTCAGATAGAACAACAAAGTTAAATATAAGAGAAAAAGAAGGTAATGTGTCAATTGCACTTAATTCTCTGTGTTGGTCGTCATTGTTTGTTGAGGAGTACTGGTTGGTTGTGCAACAAATTTAAAAAGGAAAGCGTGAAAGATAATAAGAATAATAAATAAATAAAAAAGGGGACATCTTAATTAACTTTATCAATTGACAACTTGATTTAATAGCAAAATGACATGCTTATCTCCTAATAAAAGGATTTATGTCGATAAAGCAACTTAAGACAGTTAATACGATCAAACGTTTCTTTAACTTATAGGTAATGACGTCGAACATCTAACTAATCGTTAAACTAATCAATTAGTTTTGCTAACTATTCGGCTGTGTTTAATTCTATTTGTCTTTAACCAAGTACAGAAGACAAAAAGAAAAGCTTAAAAACAGAAGTAATTCTATCTTTATCTCCTCTTTATTTATTTTTTCCTTTTTTGGAAGAGCAAACATCATTTTCTTTGCCTTTAAGCATAATCTCTTGTTTTTGTTAATGTTAATCAACTAATGGCTTATGCTCACCTCCCAATCACGTATATTTTAAATTGCAAACAAAATAAGAAACTTCTAAATTCTAATGAAGGATTACTCCACACAAAGTAAACTTGATAGTCATAATTTCACCTAATCAAGATAAGCCTATCAAAACCAATCTCATAAAAAGGGCACAATCTATTTTCAAGTACATTATTTGTACCCAATAATAAAAAGACAAGTGGCCCATTGATATCAAATCTTCTTCAAAAGTAAACAAACATTATGTTATATGGGTCGTTTGGTTGAAAAAAAGTTAACCTATGAATAATTATTTTAAAATTAGTTATTTTAATTTTTTATAAAAATAAAAAAATATTATAATCTCGAAATAACTAATCACAAAATTAATTATATCATAATTTTTTTCCAACAAAATATAAAATGAACTCTTCTAAAATTTAATGTCGCTATTAATTATTTCTTATAACTCTTGCCAAGCCCTGCGTCATCTTTTGATACTTAGATTGTCGGCAGTCTTTTGCTTAGCTGTTATATTGGCTTATTCTTATCAATACATTTGGTTATCTACTATTGGTCAACCTCCTTTTCTCCATTCATTTCTTTCATAATTGCTAGAGAACTTAATAATAGAGTGACTTGTCACTTTCACGTATTATTATTATTATTATTATTATTACTATTATTATTATTATTATTATTATTATGTAACTTAATTATGATTTTTTTGTCTACATATTATTACGTTTAGAGGATCATTCGTTGGACTTTGACACGTTTAATGCTTTTAATTAAGGAGTCAACTTTAAAAAAACAATTATACAAGAAGTGTGGAATGATATATAGAGAACGCCATAGTTAAAAACCTCTTGTAATCATACTTGTATGGGAAACTATTATTGATTGATAGCAAATACATTCTCACAAATGAAACACTGAAATTTTTTAGAGAGACATTCACATTTATATAGTTTATTTTTGTGGCTTCCTTCCGCCAAAAAATAAAATGGCAAATAGAAAAGGGCGAAGATTATATATAGATGTTATTTAAGTAGTTAAATAGTTGATTCGTGGTATAGTTAATTGATCAGAAAAATAAAATAAGAGCATATTGGAATCTCTTCTATCGTTGTACATAATTATTATTTTTTTAATCTAAATGCTATTGATCGAAAACAAAGCCAAAAACGGAAATACTCATCTTTAAAATATAAAAAAAAGTAGTAGTATATAACTTCAGTGATCCATAAATTAAGATAATCTTATCCAGAGTTATATATAGTAACTTAAATTATTCCGATTAAGTTACTGCATTTTATTGTATAGAAAGAACGTCAAGTTTCATTGAACACATATTTGGCCCCAAAAGAAAAAAGAATAACAAATAGCCATTGCATCTAAAGAAAAAAATAAAAGAAATATAAATTTGAAATAAAATATACAGTGTATGTTAAGAAGCAACAAGAAAAATACAAATTTGTAACAAGTAAATTCTTACAGTTGGAAAATTTCCCACTTAGAAAGCTAATTTTTCGTTTAAGTGTACACTAAATAAAATGTGTCCAAGTTTAGGATAATCCCAAGTACTCTGCCTATATTGGATCTTCTATTACAACTTGAACATATCCCAAAAAAAAAAAAAAAAAAAAAACATTCAGTAATTCGTATAATTGGTGGGTGTGGGGTTTCTTTTTGGAGGGGTGGGGGCCACAGAGTGATATTATAACTGCTATGCCCTTTTTATAAAACAGTTGGCGCATGTCGGTGGACAGTGGGGGGATAGTTAGTCTTTACAACTTCCCCGTAATATTTTCTCCGGTAACAGTTGCCGGCGAAGGTAAGAAAATGATGAAGAGAAAACTGAAATTCAACGGCAGAAAAGCCGATAGGACGACGTCGACCGCCGCTGCCGCCGTCAAAGAGGAGGTAATAGAGTGGGAGATGAGGCCCGGAGGCATGTTAGTCCAGAGACGGAGTGATAATTCCGACGTTCCAATAACACTGAATTTACGGATTCGTGTGGCTTATGCTGCTGCTCGGTACGAGATCTCCGTCAATCCTCACGCCACTTTTGGTAAGTCTGCGTTTCACTATATAATTTCACACTATTAGATTAATTTTGACCTGTAATATTCCATGGTTGATATAACAATCTAAAAAAATAACTTCTTGAACTCAATTCCATTGTACTTATGGTGTAAAATTTACACTATTAATGTATATATAATTTAGAAGCACAAGTTACATTTGACCGGTCGGTCAAACTTAATTACAAACACTAGCCAAATATACAAAAGTTATATATAAAATATGTATTATATTTATATTATATCTTAATATACAAAAAATATATATTTTGCTGACTATTATTTTTTGGAGCATTTATAATATGTAATTTACCCAATTTAAAAACCAAAGATTAATTCGGGCTGCTTTCAACTAATCAGTTTAATAGTATCCCTCGAGACTCCGATAATTTTTTTTCTTAATAATATAGTTCACATCTTAAAATTAAAATTCTATATTCAAAAATCGCTCGAAAATGTAGAAATATTTTGGAAAATAATAGGTTTCTATAGGAAGCTAATGAGTCCTGAGATTATCTACGATTTTTCTTGGCATACTAGGTTTTTCATCGATTATACTTTATTTTTTGCATTATAATAGTTAATTATAATTAGCTTACCGAGAAAAATATCATAGCAATTCCTGTCCAGTGTCCGGCTAGAGATAATACAAGTAACTTGGCGAATGATAAAAAACTAAGAAGCATAGTATGTTATGTTTTATTTTTTAAATGAAATTGTTGCAACATATTAGCCATGTCTGGGCTTGTTTAGTTTCTAAAAAATATTAGGAAAATACAATGAAATATAAATGGCAATGGCAAATAAAAAAATTCTTATTTGTCGAATTTTTACTTTGTGCTAAATATAATGGTGATTTCCGTGTAGTTTGATTTTCTTCTTGCCCTTTTTTTCTAATTTGCAGTAACTTTATAATCTTTTACAACGCATTACTATAAACAACTTCTTCTAGACATATAGCCTGTCTAGCTAAGTTTCTTTTTGGCCAAAAATATTTTTTATTTTATTTTATAGTTAAGATATTTGGCCAAGTTCTTAGAAGGACAAAAAGTGTTTTTGAGTAGAAGTATAAGTAGTTTTTGAGAATCAGAAAAAAGTAGATTCTTCCTAAAAAGACTTTTAAGAAAAATACACTTAGAAGCACTTTTTTAAAGTTTAGTCAAACACCAATTGATGTTAAACAGTATTTTTTAAATTAATTAACCAAATAAAACTGTTTCTCGCCGAAAGTACTTTTTTTAAAAAATACTTATTTTTAATAAGTTGATTTTATATGTTTGGCCAAATAGGCTACAAGCTGCAAAATGCTCTACTATGCTTAATCTTGTGTGTTGATTTATTCTTAGTTCACCATGCTAAAACTAGGTCGTTATAGTGTTGTAAAACCAGTTGGTTGATATTGGCAGGGGAATTAAAGAAGTTATTAACAGAAGAAACAGGATTACAACCTGGAGAACAAAGACTAATAATGAGAGGGAAAGAAAGAGAAAATGGAGAATATTTAGACATGTGTGGAGTCAAAGATCGATCAAAAGTCATCCTAATCGAGGATCCAGAAAGCAAAGAGAAAAGATTCATGCAGATGAGAAAGAACGCCAAAATCCAAGCCGCACATCGCTTGATTAACGATGTGTCAGCGGAGATTGATAAACTGGCTGAGCAGGTAATTAGCACTTCTATTTAAATACTACTCCAATAAAATAATGATCTAAAAAGGTTTGAAGAGAGATAAATAGTAGTAATAATTTGAGGAATAATAAAAGTCATATAACTATGTTTTTTCACACAAAAATCATAAAAGTTTTACTAGCTCACACAAAAATCATAGTGAGTGAAAAATATAATTTTTCAGTAGTATTTTCTTGTTTTATGATTTTTTATTTTCTTATTTCAGTCTAATAAATAGTAATTCAATTAAAATAGGGATGAGTCAACCAGAATTGGCTTACCCAACCCAATACTCATATATAAAAATTAAAATAATACTAAAAGTGAATAGTAAATCCTTCAAAACATGATATTTCTATCTTTTATTTTTCTTTAATAAAAACCGATAGCATTTTTATTTCAAGTGCTCTCTAATTATATCTTTTATTTCCTTGTTTTGTTTGTCAGAATCTCATGCATTCCGAACTAAGTTTCTTATGGGGGAAGAATTCACTTTTAGCATTATTTTAACTTACGTATATGGGTATTAGGTCAAGCTGGGTTGGGTCATTCCTATTTTAAGGGAAAAATATAAAATTAATCGGTTNTTGGGAACGGATAAAAATATACTCATATTTCTCCTATTTTAATTGGATAATTATTTATTAGATTGAAAATAAAAAATAAAAAATATAAAATAAGAAAATACTACCGGAAAATTTATTTTTCGACCACTATGATTTTTGTATAAGTTAGTGAAAGTTTTATAATTTTTGTGTGAGAAAATAAATTTATATGACTTTGATGAAAAAAAAGTCATAGTTATATGATTTTTGTGTGAGAAAACAAAGTTATATGACTTTAGTGAAAAAAAGTATAGTTATATGACCATTTGTGAAATTACCCCTTGTTTTGCACCCTAGGGAGTAATTTGTAGAGTTTATTTTCTATACATTGACAATTTGAGGAATTTTCCATCAAGTAAATTAATAGGTAATTAATTATTGATAATCATACATAATAATAAAGGTTAGGAACCAGAAAAATGAAAATAAAAAGTAATCTACCGCAATAGCTAACACTAAACTGAATATTGATAGTGTAAAATATGCATTAAACTATATTTTGTTTAATTAGAGACTACTTATATAATTACAATGACAGATTATATAATTAGAGACTACTTATAATTTCTGAAGTAAAATACGACCTAATCTTATTTGCTGAAATAGTTGGAAAAAATGACTTTAAAGTCAATCAACAGCTGTGAATTACTTAGAATATTATGATGCATAATGTGAGGTTGAAATTATATAAGGTAGTGTTTTTTTTTTTTTAATTTATTAAAAATTTGGAACATTTCTCGATTTGTGCGTGGCATCCTTCTGCTCGGACCATGTTGCTAACTTGTTTGGATGGTCGTTACTTGTTACATGATATACTATATCGTATTATTACTTTAAATATAATGTTTGTTTTGATTGTTACTTAAATTTATTGTATCGTATCGTTAAATCCGTCGTTACGTAACGACAAAAAGTGTTACTTTATGGAACAACCGATTTGGTATGGTCACTTCGTTTTCTTATTTATTTCTCTCATCTTTCCCCTTTTTATTATTAAAAAAATCCTCTTTTATCTTTTACCCTACCGTTTTATATAATAATACTACCTCTTGCGTTACTTTTTATTTATAATTGATAATATTGCAAGTTTATTTTTCATATTGTTGGTGCATAACATCATGAAAACGACGGGAAACAATACAATCTAGCCAAACATTATATATATCAAAACGATACAGTACAATATAATACAATACAATACAATACAATATTATACGATTATTATGAAAGGATACATGACAACCATCCAAACAAGCTGTTAATCTTCTCTCTGTCGTCTCAATTTTAACCCCGAAGGAACTATATATATAAGGTAGTTGAAGCCTTGAAGGGGCAATTAGTATCATAATTGTACATAACTGGAGGAGTGGTGGGACACAAATGCACTGATTGTTTCTTTGTGTCCTCAACCGTACAAGAATCCTGAATTCTTTACCAAAATAAAACTAAAACTAAAATTTGTGAATTTAATCTTAGTGAACTAATCTTGGTTGTCAGTTTGGGAACGAACATTACATAATCTTGGTCAAAGCATAAAGAGTTTGAAGACTGACCTTTTGAAATAAATTTAGTATCTTACCGGAATTGGTTTTCATAATATTCATGATTATGCACGTTGAGAGTTTATGCTCTAAATTTATGCAAATGGTCACTAATTAGTGTGCCTTTTATTTTGATAATAATATTTATAGATATCTGCAATTGAAAAGTCAAATGGAAATGGGAAGAAAGTAGCAGAATTACAGATCACTACTTTGATTGAGATGTTAATGAGACAAGCTGTCAAGTTGGATAACATCTCTGTAGAAGGAGATGCATCTGCCCAAAAGAATTTGCAGGTACCTATTCTCATTTTTTTTTCCTAGTCTCATATTCTTCTGAACTTATTTTTATTTATTTCATAAGTTCCTTGTTAAAAGTTCAATGTACTAATAATATCTCATATATTATTAGTACATATATAAAAATATCTATATAAGAACCCAATTGATAAGATGTCCCTTACATATAACCAGATAATGTTAGTTCAAACGGGTCACCAAGAGATGTGATGGTATAAATTGGACGAGCTTCCTCTCCCACTTAAATAGAGGGTTTAGATCGAGTCTTGAGAATTGATAAATTTCTGATTGGAAGCACTTCGTTTAATAAGTTTTATGTGATGCTATTCTCAATTAATCAGAAAAAGTGAGTCCCGTACCGGATAGGTAAATCGGTAAAAGAAGTCCAAATGTAATTTTAAAAGAAAAGGTCACTCATAGTAAAGTTGATGTAATGTGACAAGGAGGTCACGGGTTCATGCCGTGAAAACAACCTCTTGAAATATAGGGTAAAACTGCGTACAATAGATCCTTATGGTCCGGTCATTTTCCGGACCGCGCATAGCAGAAGTTTAATACACCAGACAATTACTAAAAAAAAAAAATTGTTAGTCTAGAGTTCATGTATTCTACAATGTACATTGTATAATTGAATATTATACTTTTCTTGCGACCTTAACTTTTACCTCACCCCTATGAATTCTGTAATATAAAAATTTTTGTACTACTTTCGTTTATAGAGCTGTTGGTAAGTTAATGACTTATGGTTGCAGGGACAAAGAGTGCAAAAATGTGTGGAAACCCTTGATGTGCTAAAAATAGCCAATGCAAAAATAAAGCCAGTTATAGTCACCACTAAGTGGGAAACTTTTGATCCTCCTCCTGCCACGACAAATTGGGAATTATTTGATTGATTTCTTTTAAAAATCTCTTTCACTTTTTATCTTTTACTTTTCCAGTTTTTTTCTCTGTAATTTACTAAGGAGATTTAACAGTTGTTCAAGTCGTGCTTGTAGCTTCTCTTCTACTGATTCGCCAATAAATGTTTCTGCAGTATTTGTAAATGGGAAATATAATTCCAAATCCTAGCTCACACAGTGAGAAATCTAGCTATTTCGTGAGCAGAGGCGGCTCAAGGATATGCGGTTTAATATGGGGTCTAAATTTTTAAAAGATAGTTATAACATACGTTTTATTTGAAATATATTCTTCTAACTTTTTGAAATACAAAGTTGTTAATAATTATTTTTATAATCGATTTTCTCTAATTATCTTTATTCAATTGATAATATAGCCAGCTCATTTATTTTTTTCTCAAGATATTGTTGATATTAGATAATATTTTATAGAGCAATAGAATTATAGAATTATTGGAAACTTAAAAGTACTGTTGAACAGTGGAGCTAATGAAATCTTGTAAAAAGAAAGTGAGTAATGAAATATTGGAGAAAGAAGGTGAGTAAGAATATTAAAGAGAAAGACAGAAAATATATAGGGGTTTCTGAAATATAAAGAGATTGGAGAAAAAGAAGATTAACTTGGACATATTAAAAAAGTGAGTGTGAATTTTTGTATGCATTATCTAATGAAGGAGTAAACCTTAAACGTTGCGAAAACTATTCATCTATCCATTTTTAAATATGTCAAATTATTACTTTATTTGCATATCTAAAGAGCTTTATTTCCTTTTTATATTAAAAACTCTAATTTTGTATTAAAAATACTAAATATTTATTTTTTAAATATTTATAAACCTATTCATTTTAAAAAATGCACCCCCAAATTTGGGGGACTAAGGCACATACCTTACCCCTCATCACGTTAGAGCCGGCCCGGATCGTGAGAATAAGATAGGAAGAAAAATAAAAGTTGGTAGGAAGGGTTTAAGGTAAGATGAGAGGAGGAACTACATGAAAAATATTTGTAATGAAATAATTCGTCACTAATTAGAGCGAATAAGATGAAAGCTCAGGTAATAAGGGAAGGAGTTACAAGTTGGAAAATAAATCGAATCACCAATAATGTGAAAGATCGGGTAATCAACCGAGTGAACTAGTAATGACTCGTTTGACCATAGATTTTGGTTTCATTACATTTTTTGTTTATGATATATGATCATGTTTCGAAAAGAAAAAAAAAATTCAAATTCCCAAAAATTAGTTTAGGGCAATTTTTGGGTGAAATATTTTCTTCAACTCACAAAACTTTAACTTTTCTTCAAATAAAATGCATGTCCAAACACAATTTCAACTTTCAAAAATTATTTTTCAACACAATTTCATTTTATTTTTAAGTTTCAATTAAATTTATGTCCAAACGCTAGCTAAGATTTTCCCAATTACAGGTTCCTTCACACTCTAAGCTGGGGGTAAAAATAGCACGGGCTAGCCAGTTTTCGGACTGGTAATTCAAAAATAGTCATCGTTTGCAAAGTCATTGAAAAATAGTCACTATTTTACTGCAACACGGACCGCTCCAGCATAATATACTGGAGATTAGTGCACCTGTGTATGAGCTTCCAGCATATTATGCTGGAACTCCAACACGCGGAAAGTTCTAGCATAATATACTGGAGATTGGAGCACTTGTGTATGAACTTCCAACATATTATGTTGGACCGATATATTATACTGGAACTTCAATATATTATGTTGGAGTTCCAGTATAATATGCTGGAGTTCCAGTCTATTGTGCATGAATATTTTTTGAATTTTGAACAGTGTTTTCGTTCAAATTTATCTTTACATGAAAAGTGACTAAATTTCTATTACTTTTGAAATTATGGCTATTTTTCAATTACTACTTATAAATCTGACTATTTTTAAATTTCTCCCAAGTTGGGGTGGGTGTTGAGCAAGACAAGGCCCAGCACAATCAGCCCAACGGCAGCTCAGGGCGTCCATGTTCACTTCTCAAGCCAATTTATTTTTTGTTCTTTTTCGGGTAAGCTTAGGCTTTTGCAAGTGAAGTGTCACAACTCACATGGTTGCTTAAGTCGGGTTAATTACGTCAGAAAAGTGTGTACGTTTATTATATATGAATTTTCATAAACTATTACAGTTTAGAGCCAAATTACCATCTGCAACTATATTTTATTTAATTATCATTTATAGTTACTGTTTAATTGTTAACAACTTATATTATTTATATTTAGATGTGCAATGAATACAACGTGTGTCAATTGTATTTGTTACGCAAATGAATACAACATGTATAAACTGTATTTGTTTGTGTAATCCTATTCATCAGCGCGGTGAATACAACTAAGGCGAAACACATGGGTGTATACAAATAATACAACCTGTACCGACTGTATTCGTTCGTGCAACGAATACAATCAAGGCGAAATAAAGAAATATAGAAAAATAAAATTCACAGGTATTATACATGGATTTGCTATAAAATTCAAATATAGCTACGAATGATAATTTTCTTAAAGTATAGTTTTATAACACGTTACCAGCACGTGTCTCTTACAAACTGAGATAATGTGCTTCAGCCGGATTCTATCTTCTTCCTAAGGGCTTGTTTGGTATGAGGGATAAGGAATAATTAATACCGAGATTAAATTTAAGAAAAGTTTATCTCATGTTTGATTGGAAGAAAATTACAGTATAATTAATCCCGTAATTAGTTATCCCAAAATTGTAGTATTTTTTTATCTCCATGAAAAGGTGGAATAACTAATCCCAAGATAATTTAATCTTGGGATAATTAATCCTCTAATAACTTCTTTCCAACCAAACGACCCATAAAAGTATTAGTTAACCTTCTGTCCAGTGCAGGTACACTTTCATTTGCTTATAACGTTTTACGGACCTTCTCAAGTTTCTAACCAACAATTTAATTTGAATATATTACTACACGCATGACTTGCTCTGAGAATTATAATAATATTAACTTTGCTATGAAATTGAAAGACTGCGTGCAATATTGCTCCTGAACATTATCATATAAATATGATAGATAATTACATAGATTATGGTGTCACATCATGTTCTGCTTCCTGTTTGCATTAAGGTAACTTTTAGTTTAGAATTATTTGAACTTTCAAATTAGTAACTTTAAAATGTGCACGCTTACATCTGCTAAAAGAAAAAATAATAATTACATCTTACTTTGATTAATCACTAGGGTAATACTTACATATTCTTCATCTTTTAGTTATAGTATGCTAACATAAAGATGCAGTACCTATTTAATAGTGACTTAAATGTCTATCTAAACTAATTGATGTATTTGTCTCGAACGGTTAGAATATCTCTTTATGTTTTAGTCATTCATAATTGTTTACATGTCTTTATGACTTGTAAAAAAGATAATCATATAAATTAATTCGATTATTTATGATAGTTTTTACTATGTCAAATAGATCAAAAATTAAATTTATGCCTACACAAAATTATGTTGCATTCCTTAAAATAAATGAAACAACTTGCGATATATATTATATAATAGTAAGACGGTGGGTTCAAGTCTCATCTCTCCATGAGGGTGAGACATCGGGTTCAAGTCCTGGTCCACCATAATGATAAGACATTCGTTTTGAATCCCAATATATGATATTGATGGCACAATGATGGTTGAGGCAAAAACAATGTCCTGTTAATGAAAAATCATGAAGCCCGCCCTACTAGATCAACTCCAATTCCCGAAGCGAATGTGATAGCAATAGATTAAAAGTCTGAAAGAAGATAAAATAATTACCGTGATAATATGAATATATGTGGGCATGTCAAGGGACGAAATAATAATCATCATGGTGGTGGTCGCTATAAATAAAAGAGCAATACGGGTTCTTAGAATAATCCTTCAAAAGGCAAAGGTAATATTTGCCACCAATGTGGTATGAAAAATTATTAAACACGAATTTGTCATACGCCTGAACATTTTATCAAACTTTATCAAGCCTTTATAAAAGAAAAACAAAATAAAGTTGAGACTCACTTGGCCTTTCAGTTGAGGCGGGCCGTATGAATAATTATGATAAAGTTGAAGTAAACCTTGCCTATAAAGATGATATTTTTGAAGGTCTTGCAAATATTACTCATTTAGAAGCTGGAAACTTCTTTGAACATCATAACTTAAGACTTATTGTCGTGCCCCGTTTTCTCGCGAAAGGGGATTTCGACATGTGACAACTCTTTTAAATGGGTATTAAAAGAGAAGAGTCGTCACTGAACGATGTTAAGGTGCGTTAGGGCACCTATTTGTAAATAACTCTGTTTTAACTAGTCCGTATCACTAGAGATCGGGTAAGAGCTCAAATTATCTTGAAGAGAAGTGGTTAGGTACTCTTCGAGATCCACTACTATGGTTCCCAGCCGAATTTTATGCTATGTGAAATTATTGAATTATAATTATCCTATGTGATCATATAAATTAAAGGAAGATAGGGAGTCTAAATACAACTACAATGTGAAACAACCATAAACGAAATTACACATATGAAGGAAGTAGATTATACATTAATAAGTAATTGGTACAATCCCTCGATGATTACAAAGTACAACCTAAATTGTTATAAGTCCAAATAAACAAGGGTCCAAGTAGTAAACGTATATGGGGGGTCCTATGTTTTTTTACCCTAAAGGATCACCTCGCGCAACATAAATAATACTTCTCAACTCCCTCAAAGATAGGGGTTGCTCATATTATTCAGCGGGCACAGACTATCATCTTCTGCTACCCAATTACTATCTTAAAGTTGTTTACCTAAAGCGTTCTAGTTCAATTCTAAATCACGTCCTATGCGTGCATTACCCGTCCCATGCCTATAGTATATGAGACTTTGGACCTACTACTTGGGTGATTCTAGACTTTACTTAGGATGCTCAAAATGACAAAACTAGGCATACATTCAAAATAAGTAGGACTGCACACAGTTAATAGTTAAGGGTTCAAGTTGGCCTCCACACGTAGGTACAAATGCACGTAAATAGTCATGAGTTTATACAAACGAGGTTCCAGATTATGCAGTAAGCAGTTGTAGGCAAGGCAGATTTGGAGTCAAAATACATTAAAATTGTTCAAGGCCTATATCTATGGTTTCTATGTGATTGAATGACTTAATAAAATCCCATAGATAGTACTTCTAAGCAAATTATCTTGAC